AGGTGTTGAGTTCTTTTGGAACCTTGGAGGTGTTGAGTTCTTCTTGAATCGTGGAGGTGTGGAGTTCTTTTGAGGCGGTGGGGGTGCAGAGACCTCGGGAGTCGGTGGAGATGGTCGTGATGTCTGTGCCCTTTGCTTCTTCTTTCTCCCTTTCAACGGCTGCACGCGCTGCGCAGGCTGAGGTCTTAGGGCAGATGCAAAGTTATCCATCAGCACTTTTACTCCGTAGTTGTTCAGATGTGGGCCTTTTTCTTCAAAAAGCTCGTGCCTATTCCAGAACAGATTAAAGTTTTCAATGAAGCCAAGTCCTCTGCGTGAACACTCATTGAGTAGAAATGTATTTAGCTGATACAGACGGCTAAACTTCTCCATTTTTCCATCTATATTTGGCAGTGGGCCACTAAGAAAAATTGTTATGTCCATTTTCTTGAGGTCATCCAGTAACAGCGTTAAATCCATTCGTAACTTCTCGCTTGCCTTCTCATAGATATCTACCGCCCCCGTGTGGATCAATAATGTACGCACACCACTGTTCTCAGATAACACTCTAGGCAGAAGAGTTCTTATCTCAGCAACTTTAGCAGAGTGAACTGAGACAGTGAGCATGGACTCCATGTTTACATTTTTCACCGAGCCATCTCCGATAAGGATACAGTTTGTCCTTGGTGGAGGCGCTGCAGTTTTTAGCAGCTTTGTTGTTTCAGAAAGGGGTAAAAAGCGGTTTGAAGTCTTCAGAACATTTAGTTGTGGCCTTATTTCACTCCTATTGTCATTCTTAGCTTTGTCAACTTTGGGTTTGGCTCCACAATTGTTCCAATAATTCTCATTGTTGATTTTGGGAAAAGAAATGACGTCATAACTTACATTTCCAGTCTGTCCATTCGTCCCATTTTCACTCATTGGAAGAGTCGGGTTAAGTCCCATTTCTGTTTCCACAATAGATATCCGTGTTTGAAGAGATTTAAGCTGATTTTCCAAAGCACAACAGCCACCGCAGACGCTTCTCCGTCTCTTCCGTCCCGACATGACTAATGTTGATAAATTCCACAAAGCTGAAGTGTGTAGAAGAAGTAATCCTCGTTTTGTAAATAAAATGATTAAAGGAGAAACAAAAAATGTAAATAAAATGATTCAGGGAGATTAAAAGGCGAAGCAAAAGCAGAGCAGAGAGACACGACCGCTCTCTCGAGAAGCAGGAAGCAGCAGGGTATAGTACTAGTTTATCACCACAGTACTAGTTTATCATCACCATGTATTTAGTTGAGTGTTGAAAAAGCGCCACATAAAAACGATGGCCGCATTATTACTATTAGTTCTATATCAATAAATAATAAGTACTCAATATTATTCTATAGCTGATAAAGAAACAGTAAACAATGCTTTACAGTATGCAAAATTATTCTTATTTTAAAGTCTGACCCCAAACCTTATTCAAACTGGCCTGTTCCTTTGGAGAACAGACCAAAACCGTGGAAAACATGAAATCATAGTTGAGTGATTAAACTCTTCAATTATGCATGGTATGTAAATGGATAATGAAATTTCTCCTTTTTGGGGTTGATGAGGCAGCGGAGGAGCTCTGTCAGCTTTTCCTAGGCTCATCCATCACTTCACTGGAGGCTGGACTCTGCTGACCTTTAATCCAGTGTCTCCTTAGGAACAGTGACTGAAGGGCTTGTGAATTATTCATCAGCACAAGACCAAAGTTGACCATGTGCTGAACGGACACACGACACGCCTTCGAAAAACTTGTCAATCACTTCAGCTTTCCGCCCCAACATTTAACATGGAGTGAAATCAAGGCTCCGACAGACGCGTGCTACTTCGTCTGGAGATCAAAAGTGCAGGAGGTGAGGCTTATTAAAAGTGAGACGCACGCTAGACTTTGAAGGTTGTGGAAAGTGAGAGAAGTTTGAAAACATCTCTTTGAATTTAATGTTGTACTTTTTGTGCATTCCGGCATTTAAAAAGTTCTGCAAAAACTAAATCTAAATGGGTTTGAAAATACTCAAAAAATCATTAACTTGTCCTTTTTTCTTAGATATAGGAATATTATTTATGCAAGCTTCCTCCCTCTGCCCTAAAAATGGCAAGATACACTTTTTTTTATTCCGTCCTTGGTTTTATCACATGGGGATGGTTTCAAAACTCATTAACATGTAACATTTGCAGAAGTAGGTTGGCCTTTGCCAATGTAAGAAGAGAGCAACATTGTATTACATTTTTTCATAAAAAACAGCCTCATTATCCACATTGAACTCTGGCTCCCTTAACACGAGATCACAAGGACAATTGTCTTTAAAAAAACAAAAAACAAACTTTTTGTACGAAAACTGAACTTCAAATTGAAAGTAATTTCAACTCCAACTTGAGCATCTGGTACCACTTTCACATAGAATTTGGTTTCAGAGTTGCATACACATAACATGTTTTACATGTTTAACACACGCTCATCTTGTCTGCTCCTCCGTTGGCTCTCAAAACTGTAATGCAATGTAAGATAATTCTCTGAATTCTGAAATAGTTCTCATTTAACATCATCCACAGTGAATGATTGCTGTAATCAAAGGAAAAGGCGCTCATTTCAAATACTTAGAGTGTGTGCCTACCTTTTAACAGTCTGGCTCGGATACTTTCTTCTGACCCACTTTGTATTGACTGAACTTGTAAAAAATGTATAGCTGTGTTTGTTATCAGTTTTTTTAATCTGGATTCAAAAGAGAAGCCAAAGCTGTGAACCAGTTACCAGTTTCCCCCCCTTGATTACATTCAGTACATGCACTTTTGCAGAGGTTGTGTTCATCCTTTGAATATGAATTTTAAATCTGCAGTGCAAACAGACAGGAGCACTTCAAACGTATAATTGTTATTGTTTCAAAATTACTGTAATTGTGATTTTTGTTTGAGATGAGTTACATGTGTTTGAAACATTTTCGTGACATGATGATGAATGAATGAGCCTGAATCCAGCCTCATCTGTACCTGGACTGGTTCCCCCCCGGGCTAGATTCGTAGACTGCACCCTCCTCCCCAGCTGCCTGGGATCCACCTCAGTCCTGCATCACACAGCCTCATCTTGCTCTACAGCCCGAGTACTGGATCTATAGCCTGTCCGTCTGTGGGAGCGGATCCCCTTCTCAAGGTGGGCCTCCCTGGGGTTTCTCACATTTTTCCCCTTGGGTTTAGAGTTGTTCTCTGCTGATACAGCATGAGCCAAGAACATTTGAGAACATTTGTTAAGATTTATGAACAAGGCAAGGCAATGCAAGTTTATTTGTAAAGTACAATTCACAATCAAGGCAACTCAAAATGCTTTTCACATTTTTTTCAATACAAATAATTCAGATTGTTGTGCTGCATTGACATTTGTGTGGCATGAAGATTGTGTTTTGTAACATCTCTCTGAACCAGGATAATGTTCATCAAAATCTTTTCATTACTTTAAGTCTATAATTTACATGATGTAGCAAGATATTAAACAATGAAAAACGTCCCTCTGCTTTTCTCATATTCTATTTTGGTAGGTCTGCCTTGTTCAAATGTGTCCATAATTTTGGCCAGTAGGGGGGAGTGCGGGTCTCTGCTAAATGACTCAGAACACACAGGCACAAGCAGGACATCATGTTTTTGCTCATTTTTGGAGACAACTCGATCCATACAATTCAGTGTCAGCCTCCACCACAGTTCATTTACCACCGAGAAAAATGAGTATAGTGCTCTTTGGCTCTGCACAACAGGCACAAAAGCTAGATATTCCCTTTAAAACTACAACCAAACATATGACAACTATTATTTGGAACAATATGTTATGTTCCGATTACTTTAAGTCAAATAATATGAGATTGACTATTTTTTCTTGAATTAAAAAAAAAGTGATATAGACTTTGGCGTCCACCACCTGCTCTAACCATGGGGATGTTTTAGTTTTGGAGTAATGCTTTGGAGTGGATTTGTTGAGGATTTATGGACTAACTAACACACACTTGTTAAATAGAAAAAAAGACTATTCTGCGCCAATACTAAGAATGCAAGAAGCGCTCTGTCTGCTTAAGAAACCATAGTTTTTCGTAAGTTTTTGTTTTGTTTATTAAGATCTCCCTTAGCCACTGAAGTGTAAGTTTCTATATTGAGAACCAGCCATCCAACCATTTTCTTCCACTACATGACCAGCTCGTGGTGGGAGTCTAAGGAGAGACGCCAGAGTTCCCTATCCATACACACTCTCCAGCTCATTAGAGGGAATCCCGAGGCGTTCCCAAAGTCATATGTAATCCCTCTCGTGTCCTGGGTCTGAGTCCAGGGCAGACAACTGAAACAGATGCCCAAACTACCACAACTGGCTTTGCTTGACGTGGAGAAGCAGAGGCTCTACTCTAAGTTCCTTAATCTCTATATCTAAGGGAGCACACAGCCACTCTACAGAGGACACTCATTTTGACCATTTGTATCCAGGATCTTTTCCTTTCAGTCTTTGGCCATTTTCCACATACCATAGCATTGCATAGAAATGAGGACTCCTGACTTTTGATCAGATAATCTACTTGTGAAATATTGACAATGTGGCATTCACATATTGATCAGAAAAAGCCACTCATTTTTCTGTTCAAACAAATAAAAGGCAAGAACCAAATGGGGAAAGAAATACCATAGATGCCGTTTATTCACTCTCTTATGCGACAGTTGCCAGTTGAAAACACTAAACCAAACCCTATATATTATAATTTTTTTTCTAGTGATACCTCTTCTTCAAATAATGAGAAAATATAGCGACCTCAGAATGCCACCTCTCATAAACAATTGTCCCCTTTACAACATACATACAAAGTAGCGACACTCATTGTTATCAATTCTTTATTTTTTAGAAAAAAATATTCCAATTGCAGTGATTTGGGCAACATTTACCAATGCATTTTCCAAATGCAAAAGTGCAAGGAGAGTGCAAGGAGCGCGTCTAAGCTAGGGGAGGCTGTGCTAACTAAAGCTCAGTGTTGTGGGGCAGTTCAGTTGCAGTACTTCTCCATGACCAGCAGGCTGCAGGGGTTCTCACAGCACTCCTGCACAATGCCACGTCTCTCCGAATGGTTCACTGAGGAGAAGGAAAGTTAGATAAATTATTGTATGCATCACTTTTTTTCTACATAAAATATCCAACTTTATTTTCTATTTTTCATACTTAGCATACCAAAATACATGCTTGAAAACTCGTAACAAAGGACCAAACGCTTTTGAGAGTGAGGAACTCAATACATTACAATCAGTAATTTAAATCCTACCAATATGCTGCCCATAAAACAAAAAGAGTAGTGCAACAATAAATTGGTTTCTGCTCCGGTACAGGTGTGCCTAATAGTAGTTTCCCATCACAGAGTATGGAGTATGGAGAATTAATAAAAAATAATGAATCATTAACAGATTGAATCCCATAGTATGGTTATAATCATATTTATTATATACCCTAAAATAAGATCTTACACCCCTAAAAAGTTATGAACTGAAAATGTTTTAAAGAATGCATATTTTGATCAGACTATAACCTTGTACAAACATAAAAAAGTATGTTGCATAAGTGATATATTGAATACAGTCGATCCTCTTGGCATAACCACCACCAGTAGTATTTACTAAAAGTTCAACTAATGTAAATTATACAAATGATTTTTGTCCAATCAGAAAGCTGTGGCAGTGAGCATGGGGACATTAGTCTTTCCCCTCACAGTTTGAAAAGTAAATTTGCTTTTACTTATACAGTTTACAATGATCTTACTCATGTCGGGGTTCGTGTTTCGTTGTGGGTTGTAGTAGAAGCCTCTGTCGCCACAAACCATGTTGAGAGCCTCAACCAGGTGAGATCCACACAGGTGCTGAGTGCCAAAGCCATCTGCCCCGGGGCAAAGAGCCGCCACCAGCACCACAAGACAGGCCGACTGCAGCCACGACACAGACATGGTGATCTGCATGAACACATTCAGCTCAGGCTCAGGAGATATGTGAAGTACGAAAGCCGAAGAATTGGATTTTTGTGGATTTCGTGTCAATCTGGCCTTTTTAAAGTACAACAAATGTAGTACACATTATTTTAAAGTTTCCCTTTAAAACTCCATTGCTGTAATCTATTCACTATTTGTACCCACAAACATTGAGTAGAAACTTCCATTTAGCTGAATTCAAATAATAATTGTAATGTTTTAAGGCAATAATAAGCACTGAATAGGGACCCAAAACCATTCATAGCACTCAATTAGAAAGATGATGAGATGATGAGAGAGAACCTCGATGCAGCGGCCAGATTGGAATCAAGAAGGATTTCAAAAGTAAAGACAGATGAGGTTTTTTTGCTTACCGTTAGAGTAAGTAGGTGATGTAGGTAGGATGCAGATGCGCTGTGGGTAAGAGACAGAACAGAGGCTCCAGGGGTCATTTATACCACCAAGCTTCCAGTCAAACACTTTATGCCACTTAGTAAAACAAACCAATCTAATGAGGCAATATGATGTGATCACCTGTCGGTCTGCTGGCCTTCAACCATTTACGTCATTTCATGCATGTCAAATTTCCGTAAATTAAGCATCACATAAATACAATTCCTTATGAGCATAGATTTAGGGATTTGCAGTGGAGGTGATACGACTTTAGACAATTTACCTATCAAACTACTTTCTCTCAAATTAGGATTTTAAAACTTGTTATCATACCAAAACCAGCAAATTCTCAAAGAGGCCAACAAATCTAAGCAAGTTTTTAAAATGTATTTCAAAATTTTGATTAATAGCGTTCAGCATTAAACATGAAAGATATGCCTCAAACTTCTGCATTACTCACTTTTCCTTCGTCGTTTGTTCTGAGTGAACATTGGGATAAACTGTTTGTGGTTTGAAGGAGGATTTCTCAGTTAAAGAAGTTTCGTTCGATTGGACCCGCACTGCTCTTCTTAAACTGGGAGATCTTCAAAGTCCCTTGTTACACACATAGATCATGCTTTTAAAGACATTTATTATGAAGTAGTGAATTATTAAGATTTACTGGGCTGTATTTTTGTATTAATTATATTTACTATAAAAACAGACAAAATATCTTGTATGGATAGCTTCTAAAGGCTTCAATGGTGTATTGACCATCCAGATTCTTTTCCTTATCGTTGATCTGGGAGTCGGTGGTCTGTCTGCCACAAAAAGGAGAGTTCAAATACAGCAATCACGTCTAGAAAAGGGGACATCCTTTATTAACCCTTTTAGTATAAGAAACTGGGGACCTGTATTAGCCTCTAGCATAGGGAAGTGGGCAGGTTCATTTATCAGCCTATTAGCAAAGGAACTGGGGACGTTGCTTCATTCGTTAATTTAGCATAGGGAACTGGGGACGTTACTTTATTCGTTACTTTAGCAGAGGGAACTGGGGACGTTACTTTATTCGTTACTTTAGCAGAGGGAACTGGGGACGTTACTTTATTCGTTACTTTAGCAGAGGGAACTGGGGACGTTACTTTATTCGTTACTTTAGCAGAGGGAACTGGGGACGTTACTTCATTCGGACATTGAATATGTCAAGGAAATGTCCTTCAGTGATCCATCTACCATGACAGAGTCTGAATATCACACGAAGGGACATCCAGGCTTCTTTTAACCCTTCTTAATCCATTAGCATTGCAAACTGGAGATGGCAAGAAGCAGGTAGGATCTCCCAGCATGCCGTGCAGATTGTTGAGGACTTCATACCAAACAGCACACTCCATCTGCCCAAATGTTACAAAAATAATAATAATCACTTCTTTGTATGACTCACTTATGACGTGCAATTACTTTGTGAAGCATAAGTGCTTTGGTCATTCATAAGAATCAACAAGGACATAGAAGAACAAAAAAATAACTGTCCTTTCCCCCCCCCACCAGATTTGGATCCAGGGTATGTTTGAGATATACAAGTGTTATGTGTGCTCCCAGTGTTGCGTTGAGTGCTGCGTTCTCAAAACGCCAGACTTCTGGTGGTTCTTAAAGTGTCTAAAAGCACAGTCAGAGGCAGAGCGTTTTATCCAACAAGCTCCTATACGGTGAAATCTATAACACAGATTGTCAGTCAAGCTGCATATGGAAACACTTTTCCGGGAGAATTATGGTAAAGTGACCACTAACTTTATCTGACTTCAGATGTAGTCTGTTCATTGCTATTCACCTGCAGTTCCACTGTCTGTTTCATGATGTTAGTTCCATTAAATAAATGTAACTGAATTAAGTTTGTAATCAGTCACAACACTTGGTAGTGAAGAAGCTGTACATAACTGGGCCACATACATAGTATGTATGAAAACAAAAAGTCTCTAAAAATAGAATCATTGATTGAATGATTTTACAATCATAAGTATTCAAAAAATGTACCTTCCTTACTTTGTATGACTTTTTATACACCTTATGTGCTTACAGTAAACCTATACAATCAAGCAACAATATTTGCCCTAGTCTCACCATGTATTATGTATTTACAATATCAATATGTATTTAGAAAAATGCATTTTTAATTAAAATTAACAATTTTTAGTACCTTTAACACATTTTAAGATGGCTAAAAGTAATGATCCCTATAAAATAATGCCTTGACTATCATCTCATTTTCACTAGTGAAGTATAGTGCATTTGTAATGAATTGTTGTGCCTGGCATAGAGCACACCATGATCCCTGGAAAGCAGTTTTCAACCAGAATGTCATTTGCATTTCATTTACTGTATTTTTCAGTGATACTTCTGCCAGTAATGCAGCATTCTTACCTCCAACAAGTCTGTGTTATTTCTGGTCTATTTTTCTTTCAGTGAAGATTCTGTACACTTGCACACAAAGACATGCAAATGAATGTCAAAGCCAATTGCCTTTCCTCTGCAGAAGCAGGAAGCCGATTGGAATGGGTCTACAGCGTTGAATAATGCAGGAGCCAGGCACAGGTGAGCTGCGGCTTAAATGTATTACTTGTTGCAAAGTGAATTGATGCTTTCACCTGGTGTTTCCTGAATGCTCTGGAGTAAATGTGTCATATAGACGAGCCCCCTAAATATTTATAGTTGCAGAAATTAATTTTGATACGGCATTAAATGTGCAGTGTGTGTAGCGCAATAGGAGTGCAAAAGCTAAAAGTTGACAACACAAAACGAAACAAACAGAAGAGGTGTAAAAAGAAGTACAAAAAGTCAAAAGAAACCTTATTCATTAAGTTAAGGCCCCAGACAATGTCTCCGACGCTGCCTGGCTGCAATACTGCATTCATTTCAGTTAAATTTATTTTTGAACAAAATCACAACAGCAGTTGTCTCAGAACAGAATACTTTAGAAGTTGATGATACCTCAACAACGGATCAGAGAAACAAACAGTTTGAACACAGACAAAAACAAGAAGTCCATGGATGTTAATAAACGTCCATATACAGTATATCCCGGATCATCACTCTCCTTAGACTCTCCAGCAAAAAAGTGGGAAAAAGTGAAAAACCTCAGGGAAGCCCACACTGAGAGAGGGATCCGCTCCTATGAACAGACAAGCTATAGATCCAGGACTAAGGCTGAGGAGTTAACTGTGATGTCTTGATGTCTGTTCACCTCAGACTGTCGCACTGGACATATTGATGAGTCCTAAAACTCATATTTGAAAGGTAATGTCACTTGTGCTACTGTGAAAGTAATAGGTCATTCACTATTGAAATGAAGGCGCGAACACTGTGCCCATGAGAAGGTAACTCTTGAATATTGAAATCTATTTGTAGTGCAGCTGTACTGTTGTGCATGTGTGGGTTGTGAAGAGATATGAACCCCTAGATAATCCAAGTCAGGCCAGAGGAGTTGGTGTATTGACACAGCCTTTATTCTATCTGTCTACAGAAGTCATTTATCAAAACATTTGAACAAGTATTACTATGTTGTAAAAACAAGGAGCTATAATACATGTAAAAATAAACCTGTGCGCATGTGTGATAAACATGTTCTTCATCATTGGTATGGATGCTACAAAGTGCATATAGACTTCCACCACACATTTAAATAAACCTCACAGCACTTTACTAAATTATTAACCATCTCCATATTGCTACATCACTACTCCTACTCACCAGATAAACACAGAGACAGTATTAATTCTGTTCTTTCTGTCAAACTATTTATTATCCATCTGCTCTACCACATTCCCACATTTTGAGCTCTGAAATATTAATGATCTTGTAAGGTGCAAACCCCAAGTCTTATTTATTTTCCCTGAATAAATGATGCATCAGTTTGGATATAGATTCGTGTATTAATAAGTACAAACTCTGCAGCAGAATACACAAGCAGAGCCCCTGTTTTTAATGCACCTCTGGGGATCAGGCCTCTTGATAGATCTCTTCCATCACACAAGAAGTGACTGAATCCACCAAATCTATAAAACAGTGGACACTGAATGGAGGTTAGAAATATGGACTGAAACCCCGGACCCCAACACAATAGTTTAAATATGACTTAGGAAATAAAGCTTTTTAATCAGTAAATAACTTCAGCTTTTTCATCATTCCATTTCAACACATTTCCAAAGTTTCCAAGTGATGTTTGCATTCATTATGACTTCAAAATTTAGAGATTTATTATCAATAAATGATGTACATCCATTGGAAATTGGGAGTTCACAGCATAGTATTACCCTTTATTAAAATGAGTAAAATAATTTTTTTGTAATACAAAAATAATATCAGTAATTTAAAAGAATTAGCTCAATAATGTGCCACTAGAAAATTAAAGGGTGGTAAAAACCCAAAATAATTTGGCCTAAACTACTGTTATTTAAACTTCCAGGTCAACAGACATGTAATCTTGAATGCTTGAAGGTTGCAGGTTCACACCACATGCAGACCCGGGCGTTTCTGCAAGGCATGTGTTGATAGAAGGATGGGACTAATGCAAAAGGATTTCCTCATGCAGAGATGAAAAAGTTGACCATGAGCTTACATTGATGGTAAATGCAAATTAACATGCTTTTCAAGTACTGTATGTACTGAAATCTTATAATTTACATTATATTTATTTATTTTCAGGATGAACTAGACGATGTTGCACAAGTGTGGAATGGACACCACATTCGACCATCAAGAAATGTGAATGTTCCATATGGACGTCCAAGTGTTATGTATCATTTCCCAGAACTGTATGGGACGAGGGACTTCCTTTTACCAGTTGAGAGCGATCACGTTGACCTGTGCAAAAGTCAGTGTGTCTTCAGGCAAACTGTCCCTTGTGATACAGATTTGTATGAACTATGCAGCATTCTGATGGCAGAGTCTAATCTGAATATGCCAACTGACCCTTTTCAAGCTTTAAACTTATACATGCATCTCAGGGAAACCATCAATGAATCTCTGTAAAAGTTGAGCGTAAGACATACAAATGTAAGAATAATATCTCTTCTTAACCATTCCG